TTACAGCATGGTCGGAAAGGTAAAACTACTGATAAGTAGTCGGGAATTTGGCTTATTTCAAGTTGAACGTCACCCACAGTTGTTTACAGCTGTCACATTTCCATATACTTTCCGGTCGGCTCCTTTCGAAAAGAAGCACTAGACTCGAGTTTCGCTCTCATTAGAACTCGTCAATAGTGCATATCCTCGCCACTGCCGGGACTAGAACTTCGACCGCGCTTTTCATGAGGCAGATGTGTGTACCACTGCGCCATGTGGGTGATGTTCAGCTTGAAGTTAACCAAATCCCCGACTACTCATCAGTAATCTGAAATATCGCTTAGCAGGTATAGTGAAATCGGAGATTTCGCGAGGTTATCGAGTGGAGTTAACAGACAGTAACCGTGTCTCCATTTCGAGACGATCGGGCAACCTGATAACTACTCATAAGCGAAAGTGGTTGAACGTTCATATATGATAATTCGGTCGTGCCCAATATGGAGTCAATGACACAGTGGTCAACAGGGTTGCCTTAAGAAAGCGTGGCCGGAGTTCTAGTCCCGGCTGCAGTTGCGAGGATATGCACTACTGACAAGCTCTAATGAGAGCGAAAGTCGAGTCTGGTGCTTCTGCTGTTCGAAGGGGACCTACTAGAATGTCTATGGGAGTGTGACAGCTGCGATCAATTGTGGGTGATGTTCAACTTAGAAAGATAAAAGCCATATGATGATTATTTCAGGATTACATACTTCTGGGAGAATCTTAGGGATGTTACCACTTTCCCAAAACAGTAACTGATATTAAACCGGGGCTTACCAGGTGAGAATGATTACATTTGAGGAGTTTCGGAAACTGACTTCACGTTGTTAATAGCAGAAAAATAATAAAATTTAACTTACAGTTATTTCTCAGTCACCGCTTTTATTCTTCTGCTGGATGAATTTTTAACCATCAAGCTTCATGATATGGTTATTCATATTTCTACTGTGATTCTGGGGTTTAACTGAATAAGTTTTGGTACATGAGCATCAGTAAGTAAGCTCGGTCCCAAACTGAATTGATTATTTCGCAGTAATAATCGGGTTGGCCAAGGTCAGGTTTATTTTTACGGGCATATTTGACTATATTTGATTCAAGCGCATTTGCTAGATTCTACTCAAGATGATCATTAATTTTTTGTGGATGTATGTGATGACGAAAACTTATGCTATGGCTAATGGAAAGGGGTGTGAAGGGCACAAGGTCGACATTCACTTTGAGCGTGAATGGCAGCTATTATCCTAAACTCCATGTTAGTAGTCAGGATAATAGGTTGTTACAGACAACTCACCAGGGATAACAGTGTTCTCATTGTGCACACTAGTAAAAGGGGTCTTGTCTAGTTGTTCGCAAGGTTGGCACTTCAGTAATTCAGTTTCATTCTCCGGAAAAACTAATTACATCAACAACAGAGCTTTCATTTTCACCCTGATATCTAATCCTCCAAGGATCGGTTGTGAAAAAAATCTAGAGCTTCACACACCACGTACAATTTACAAATATAACACATCGTTTACTAAGTAATTCGTGTAGTTCTGTGTGATTCTACCATTCGCGAACAAATTTAAAAATATATTACTAATAAGTAGTTTGGAAGATTCACGATTTTAGATGATACCCAACTGTGAAAAGTCAGGGCTTTCGCTGGATTCGAACCAGCGACAGAAGCACGATGCTTCAACGCGACAAGCACTCTGCCAGCTGAGCTACGAAGCCACACGAGGAGCTCGAAGATTTCATCTAGTCCAAATGTGATGGTTCCGAGCTCCTGGTGTGGCTTCGTTGCTCGGCCTGTAGAGTGCCTGCCGCGTTGAGGCATCGTGTTTCTGTCGCTGGTTCGAATCCAGCAGAAGCCCTGACCTTTCGCAGTTGGGTCTCATTTGGAAACACATGGTTTTTGTTTCACCTGCCTGACTCATTCTGTACAGCTATAAGGACTACCTGACGAGATAAGCTGCCTGAGTATCGACTATTTTCAACGATACAGAATCAATGTCAGTTCTCTTGAATGCGCCACAGGCAGCACGCGCTTAAGCTCAGTTGGCTTAAATGTTATATCGAGCATGGCCTAATCAAGTTGGTGTAGTAATCAACATCACGCAATAAGAAATGTGTATTTATATAGAATGTTCGGTTGACGACAGATCTCACATGAAAGAGTTCTGAAAAATACTGTAGACTTACGCCTGAATTCTGAAACGAACCTTTTTTCAGGTAATCAGTTGGTGTCTACGACGGAAGCAGTTGGTGATGTGATGACTAATAATGACACTATAAAAGGTAAGCTTCTATTTTGTATAAACAACGTTCTCAAGTATTGTGTACCTCACTGAGGGTGTTAGATTGTTGTGCTTTTAAGGTATGATTCTGTCTATTTTCGACGAACTGACTAGCTGTTTTTAAGAAATCTGTACCAAAGTCATGTGATGATATTCGGATGAGTCAAGTGATCAATAACACCGGTATTGAGAAAGTTGGTAGTCTTATTTTTAACCTTTCGATTACCCCATATAACCTTTGTCAAGGCAACTTTCCAATCAATGGAATACATGAATGAGTCATGCTAGTAAATAACTGACTCAGTCGTCTAGCTGTGGTTGGATGCCTATCAGTTATTCATTGAGTCCAGGACCTGTCCTCTGTGTATGCGTGTTTGTGAGATCGTCCTGAACCATGGATGTTATAGGTCGTGGTGGTATGACTATATAGCGTCGCGATGCGTGCGTTCGCGAATCTGTTGGCCGTCTTGAGCTAGTAGGTCACCAAAGTACTCATAGTGCACTGTCGGCGAACACATGACGAGTTAGTTAAGCTCAGTATATCCATTCTATTTCTGCCAATGATCTCATCCGCTCTCACTTCCAGAAACTTGGGTGTCTGTGGTTTTCTAATCACTTTTTCAACAGATTTGTTGGTGTATCATATGATGAATGGTTTACCCGTTCTTTTCGTAATCCAATCTGAATTACATTTTCCATCCACATCATTTCCAGAATGCAGTAACATGCACTCGTTTACATAAATGTTTCTTGTATTACGTTTCACATGTCTTTTTTCTCAGTTTAGATCTTGTCATTGCGGTCTCTGTTTATTTTCTGGGAGATAAGGGTTCCCCTTTACTGCTGGCCATTCAATCGGCTAACCAGCATGGGCCGGCTGGACACAAAGGCCTCACTCACACACCTACTGGTC